TACAATTGTAAGATTGTATATTAGCAATATGCCACTGCATTAGGATTAATCAGACTATTTATAAACAATATCCAAAATGCATTAGGATCTTTGAATTCCTTTACCAACAATCTAATTTTAAAGTTTAATTTGTGAATGCTGAGTTTGAAGAGTTAATTTAAATCATGTTTTGTATATGACTGTATTCAACACATCAATTTTGGCTGATACAATCCTATGTCTATAAAATTCTTACCCCAAAAAAACAGCAGCTAGAAACAAACCAGACCCAAACTCCAAAGATTCTTAAGCAGAAATCACTGAAGTTAATGGAATTTACTCCCAAATAACTACCTAACATACTGCAGTTTTATCATTTTTTTCCAGTGAGGAAGCTCTCTGGCTGGATTAAAAACAAAATGCCTGACAATTAAGATATTGCCTGCAATATGTTGGCAAAGTAAGTTCAGAGATAATAGTCATCCACATTTTTACTCTTGCTTGCTTGTCTTATAATGAAAAATAATCCTGTGCTAACTGTTCAAGTCCACAGAAAAATGTTTTAGTGCCAGCCATAAACAAGTTGTAATATTTTCAAAATTTTCAGTTGCCTGCACCAGATATGTGTTTCTTACTTATTCTAATATTATCTCATTGAATCAATGCCCATTTTAAAGGATAATTTTTATCCCACCATAAAATATTCTTGAAGTTAATAAGATAGCAACCCAGTCATCTAAAAGTTCCAAGTCAACAGCAGTTGCAAATATGAAAAAATCTGCTTTCCTGTTTCATGCCAATTTCCAGTTTTCTAAAGAGATATTTTTGTACAGGAAGAGCTGTAAGCATAGTTCAGAAAAGTCAAATGGCCTATTTATTCTTAGAATTACTGAAGTCACTTTTATGAAACTTGAACCAAAATTACTGTACAATAGATGGATTTCAAACCTAGTTTTATCTTTTTTTTTTCTTTTGCTTTCCAGAACAGGTTTGGTATATTGCATTAGCCTACTGCTCTGTCTAAAATGCTGTACAATACATGGAGATATGTTATTTGGCATTGAGGAATCAAGCCTGAAGATTTTTGCTTTAGCAACCCAAAAATTACCATAAGAAAAAGATCAAAACAGTGCAGATAATTCATTTTAATCTAGAAAATTACAATTTTCTTGAAATCTTATTTAAACTAATTTTTAAACATTAACTTATTATCTCTTAAAAACCATATGGGTATGAATAGAATATTGAATGCAACAGATAAACATGCTAAATGTAGAGTTTCATAATCTGTAACTATGATTGAGTCCTATCCCTTCACCACAAATATTAAAATATATTTTTCTATAAAAAAGAATGAACCAGAGAAAAGTATCAGTCTTAACAGGCAAGTATAACAAAACACCTTGTAAGCCCTCTACTGTACAATGTAATCTTCTATGCACCTTCTCAAAAGGAAGTCCCATTAAGTTTAGTGAGACTTACTCCTAATTAAGTGTGCTAAGGACTGTAGTCCTATTTTATTATTGTGTAAATTACAAGTCAAAGGTTGAGAAACTTTTTTGGGACTAAAAAAATAAATACATTTAGCAAACCAGGATTCATTTTGTCATGCAAATACAAAATATCTTACAGGGGCATGCATGTCCATGATCACAAGAACAATGGTTTCCTCGATCCACTTTTTTGAATCTGCACAATAAGCAGAACCATAAACAAATGGTTTGCACAGCATGCAACACTAAAGCATGGTTGGCTTGTTTGCAGTTGAGGCACTTATTTTGCACCTGTCCTCGCTGCACAAGGATGTCTTAATACCTCAGACATTTTCTGATTTCTGCTCCTTAAACCTCTGGGCAGTAAGGTCAATGGCCAAGGATAAAAGGACATTAATTAAAAAAATATTGACTACACATGTCCAAGATGTTTTTACTCGGTTACTTTAAGAAGTAACAACTTTGTGATATACTATGTGCTTTTCTTACTTCTGCTGAGATTCTGGAGTCAGTACAGCTGATTTATCATTCGTAGAAAAAGAAGAATGCATTATTTTATTGCCAAAGACCATGCTCGCACACCCTGATGCTCCAGTTATTGAAATCTTCCAACAGACTGCTATCATCAGAATCCATAAAAAGGCAAATCTGACTAACCGCTGCTGGAAAAAAATGAGTTTGGAGGTCGGGAGGAGCTCCTCAAGGGGTAGTTTGCTGGAAGCCCCTGCTTGCCCCCTTGGCAAGCGCGTCATAAAAACACAGCCACCAAGCCACAAATTAAGCAACCCCTGTTTAGGCTAGCATACTGGGTCAGCCCAGACTTGACCTAGAGAAACAATCACAAGCAGACCTTTTCCTCCTCCATGCATTCGACTCCTCTTTTAAAGCCATCAAAACCAGGTGTGTGGGGGGGAGTAGTGTCACCACATCACGTGGCAGTGCGTTCCACAAGTGGGGGGCGCGTCCTGAGACGCGCTCCGCCGCCTTCTGTCCTGGTGCAGCAGGAGACGAGCCCCCCCAACGCCGCCCTCTCTTCTCCCTCCCCCATTAACTGGTGGGGGGCAAACAGCGTCTGGGGGCGGGGCCAGGGGAACCGCTGCCCAGGCCACGCCCACCGGCCCGCGCGCCGATCGCGCGAGAGAAGGGAAAGCTAAGGGCGGGGAAAGCTCTTTTTCTCTCACCGTGAGGAGATGTTTGCGGAGCCAGCCTTGGCGCCAGGTGACATGGTGGCCTTGGTAGCGACAGCAACGGGACCGGCGACGGGCCGGGTTCCCAGACAGTACTACAAAACCCCCAAATAAGAAAAGAAAGAAAGAAAGGGAACGGAAAGGAACCCCTTTCGGCAAACCTCCGCTGGCTTGAGACCCGGAAGCGGAAGCTCCTTGCCGGAAGTGACGGTAAAGGTGAGGCGGGATATGATTGGTCGGAGCGTTCGCTCTCGGTGGCCGCCACCGCTGCCTGGTTTTCTATCCGTGATTCAAAATGTCTGGGGAGGAGGGTGAGGGAAGGTACAAAGGTTGGGCTGTGCGGCGCGGAGTGGCCGTACCTTGTTCTCACTTGCCATTGGGCTGGCAGGTAAAAGCAAAACGGGGTTGAGGGGGTTCTCGCTGCCTTCGCTCCCTATAAGCAAGCGCGGCCCCGCCGTAGTTACTTTTCTCCGCCTGTAGGGGTCGCCTGCCTCCTGTGGGGAGCAGAAATGGGTCGCGTCCACTTTGCCCAGTACTGTACGTTGAATCATAAACTAACCCAACGGGTTGGATTTGCACCACTTGCTAAACCACAAAAAGAGCTAATCAGGGTCAGCGCTACCGTAATGACGTTTAGCATGTTTTACAAATGCAGCTGCTCGTTTTGAACTGTTCTGACGAAGGGTAGTATTAGGAACGAAGCGGCTGAATCGCAAGCCAATCGAATTGGCTGCATTCGGGCAACAGGCCCCACCTTCGTAGCTAGTGGGATGGGATGTTTATAAATACGCTATAGCCCGCATACTGTATATGGGTTTCAAAAATTAGAACGACCATTAGCTGAGAGTATAAGTTTTCTGTATTTCTTGGTTGCCATCTAATGGTTGTCCAGAGTGTTACAGCTCAGATTTGTGGCAGCTGTAACTAGTAAATAAAATAACATTTTTTCCATGTAGTTTAAACTAGATTTACATCTTGATATCAACCCTGTTTACTTGACCCCAACAAATTCATTTTCAGACAGCCTCTGATACAAAAAGACGCAGACTAGATTCACACACTCTCCTCATCGTAAATTGAATAAGTCATAATTAATTGGATTTTATACTACCAAGACTTAAATTACATTTGCGAATGCATGGTTGGGTTTACCCAAATCATATTATAGTTTAGTGTGATAGGAACCCATGTCAGCACTAAGATTTGTAAAGCCTAGCATTTCATAACCAGATACAGTTAAAATTTTAGGGGGCTTGACCCTAAGCCTGTTCCCACAGAGGTAAGTTCCACTGAATTCAGCGAAACTGGTATGCTAAATTGTTTCAGTTCAGTCTTTTGCTTTATTCAGTAAACATTTATTTCAGTGCCATATAGTTACTAATAAATATGCTCCAGATTGCAGTCCTGTTTTAAAGCAGCAAATAAGCAAAATACCTGGAAGGGCTTAACAATTAGAATAGAACTTCTGATGTGCTCTTAACAAATCTCAAGATGATAGTAATTAATAATACAGGAGTTCTAAACTAAAAACCATTTGAGAACAAATGTTTGGATTTTTCTATTTTTTGATGTGGATATAGAAATATTTATATTTTTTCACAGCATTTCAGGTAGAGATCATTTCTGGCATGTGGAATATGGAATCCAGACATACGCAGAGGTAATCTCACATGATAGGTTTCTATACTGAACAATAAAAGGGCAGGGAGGAAGGGATTGATGATAGGAACCGTTCCACAGCTTCTGTTGGCTAAGTGTGCACTTCTGCTACTCTTCCCCCTCCCCCCATAACTCAGTCACTTATTTAGCCAAGATTCTACCCAGAGGTGTGAGCCAAAAGGCTTTTGACCTTGACTTTCAGCCAAAGCATAAGACCTCTATCCTGAAGACATTTTGTTCTTTTTTTCACACCAATGTCCATTAAGAAAATAGAACCATAAGCCAAAATATCAGTAAAATTTCCAGAGGACAAACTCTGGAGAATTCATCCTCACCCAAAGTGTCTGTCTTTCCCCGGGACAGAGACCAAAAAGTATGGTAAAGTTGGAAGTCTGGAAAGCTTGAAAGCTTGCATGTTCTTTTCTGACATTGTGGTTCTAATAAAACCTTTAGTGTTACCAGCTATAGATTTTAATCTTTCTTCCATAGACCAACTTGGCTATGTTTGTCTTTTATACTCTTCAATATGATAATCAAGATGCTGCTGGTATGAGTTTTTATCTGAAAAAATCGGGCAGTATTTATTTGGCTAACCCTTTCTTCATCATCACCTTTTTTTCATTAGTGATCCATACCCCTTCTTCATTGCACAACTTTATATCAGTCACATGTCTACTCATTCCAAGGTATAATAAACCACCATTCTTATTTATTAGTTATATTTTTAACTGCTTTTTAAGGTTACACCATTACAAAGCAATGGATAGAAATGAACCATTAGGCAACAGTTGGGTCTCCTGAGAAATTCAAACATTCCTTAGCATAGTCATCATGAAGAACCTTCATGCATATGAAAGGCTCCTGCCTCAGATGTGTGCCTGTCAAACTGTGGAAGGCTACAAATGTAGAGAAGGAGAATACGTTGAAGTGGGCAGACATATGCCAGAAGTCTTATTTTCACGTAAGCTTGTATTTCAGGTTTTACTTTTCCATAGGTATGACTGCAAAGAAAAAATGAGAATTTACCCTTAGGGGACCTAGAGACAATGGTTCTCCCATACTCCAGGCTTGCTTCAGGATAGGTCGTCTTCTTTCCTACCTCATCTTCTAAATTTGCATATGGATTCTTGGCTAACCCATGAGTGGACATTTTTGGCACTGTAGGTCTCAGCCTTTCTGGGTGTGGAAGAATGGCAAAAGAGCAGGAGGAGGAGGATACCCATGGGAATGCAATCTTTGATGGAAAAGAATCCCATAGCCCTGTCTTAGGTATTGGTGCTAGGTTCCAAGAAAGACCTGGTATGTGCCTAAAGATGCCCACCCAATTCCAAGAGATTTGAAGTACCTCATGCTGAAAACAGAAAAACACTGTTATCAAATATATTATATCAGGGCTGCAACAATGTAATATCCATCTTTCAAATAAGAGATTCACAAATTCTTTCCCCTGACGACAATACCCAAAGTCATCTCATTTGAGATATGGCATGGTCTTTCAGAGTTCTTGCATTTGTGTTATATGACTTCCAATTCTTAATGTTTTAAACAAGAGCTGTGGTCCTAAATTAATTTGCCAAGAATTCTTGCTGGCCATCAGCTTTTACTTGACACTGACAATAAGTACATTTTGCTCTTCTATAGGAAAGTTATCCTTTCGTTCTACTTTCACTCAGAAGGTCTCTCAGTTTAGATATAGTTCAGTCCAATTCCTTAAGAATGAAAAGTAGGCCCCAGAAGCTGGCCATCTTCAGTTAACATCTGGGCAGCAAATTGAATAGACACACAAATCATTTGATAATCTTTGCTGCTTGTGAGGAGATATACCGTATTTCCTGATTTGCATACAGTGTATGCTTGTACTTTAACATATGGAAATTGTAGCCAAATTTATGTTTTTTGGTCCTTTTTTTGCTGTTACAGAGGTGCCTCCCTCCATCTTGAGTCTAAAATACTTTTAAGATTTGGGGAAGGGAGAGAGACAATCTTCTAACTGCACCATCCCTTCCACTCCAGTATCAGTTGTTTGCCTGGAACATTTTCGACTGTCTTTTATGTTTTTAAAATTTTCAGAAAGATGTTTCCTGAACTTTTTCGTGAGAAAGCAATAAATGATAGGGTCCAAGACACAGTTGGCACCCAGAAAGACAAGGGTTGCCTGGTGGAGATCATTCAACAGTTTTTTGCTTTGGCAACTTATATTCCATTTGTCTAGAACCATCAAAGTCCAGGGTAAGTCCACCAAGTGGTGAGGCACAAAACAAAAAATGAAGACAGTCAAAACTGTGCACACTAACCAGAGAGCCCGTTGCTTGACGCGAACACTCCTCCGAGTTTGCATTGGTTTGGAAAGCAATGTCCGGATGATGAAAGCATTACATATCAAGACAAGCAGGAAAGTAATGAAGAAACAAATACAAATAATCCCATGGGAGGCAAGGACAGGAGTTGTATTAGCGGAGGTATTATAACGCTCAAAACAGCGTACCAGATGCCCCTCAAGGGTCGTACCATCATCAGCCAGAAAGTAGGTGGAAGGAATACCTATCATGACCCAGATAGCTACAGTAATATAAATTCCTCTTCTTCGTGTGCTGGACTGAACCGTTGAAATGGGCCTTGTAACTGCTTGGTAACGATTGTAAGTTATGACTCCCAGGAATGCCACAGAGCAGTATGTATTCACAAAGAATAAGTAGCCAGCTATGTTACACAGAAAATGGGGCATGATCCAGTTCCCTTTGTTGTGGTAATAAATAATCCACATTGGCAATGTAACTAGGAAAAGTAAGTCAGCAGTTGTCAAGTTGACTATGAATATTTTTATTTCATTTAATTTCTTTGTAGCATAAACCCGATGGAAAAGCCACAGCACATAGGTGTTAGCTATGAAGCCCAGAATAAAGATGATGCTGTAGTAGACAGTGAACAGTATATATCTGAACTCAGAATCCACATGGCATGTTGAAGACATGTTTCCAGGTGCAGGTGTCACTGTCATGGTGTTCTTTTAGAGCCAGATTTGTCTGCTGTTCTTATCCTGAAAATAAAATGACAGAAGGAAATGGTTAGTGCAACATAAGAAAATGACAAGGGATTTGTTATACCAAGCTTGGAGCTGGGTATGTCTTTAACACAATCTCACTTTCCTCACTTAGCCACACGCTCTGGGACAGTCCATTGCCTTACCTTCTACAAATCACTTTTCCGGGCATCCTCTAGTAATTGTGGGTTTATCAGCCAATCCTGTAATCTGGGAATGTCTTCCCATGTTTAAATACTTTAATTTATCAGTAAATTATACTCTGAGATTGCTCCTTTGGCAACTCTCATTTAGTAGCTGGGCTTTTCAAACAGTCCTCAGCTCCAGGAATACCTCCACCCCGATATCCTGCATTTATTTGATCTTTACCTCCATTATCCATTTCACTCTCTCAAATGTGACCATGTTATAAACATGTAGAACACTCCTCTTTTTACATTGATTTGAGTAAACAGAGTGTAAAGTTTAAGAATCAGACTAACTTAAACCCTTTTGCTTCTTTACATTGTTAAATAAGATAAATATATAATTACATAATTCTGCATCCTAACCTAAAGCAAGAGGCTGGAGGGAGAAAAGGGAATGGGGAAAGGGAAAGGGAGACGGATAAATGAGAGATCTTCGGGAAAATCTTCCTAAGAGACTGGTTGTTAGGCTCTCACCATCTGTACTTCTTCAGTTTTTTCAGGTTAGGGCTGGGTAGACAAAGGGCACTGGGTAGAATAAGAACCAACAGGGCTGGTTCATTACCAGGAAACTGCATGACTTCTTCCTTGCAATGTTTTTTTAAAGCCTATAAGGGGTTATAGTACAGTGCCATATTTGTTGAACAGATTCTCACTTTAATTGGTTTTTTCACCAGTTCTTCATATATGGTCAAGACCACTTAATGTCCTGTTTTTCTGACTTTTTGTCTATCAGAACCTGTGGCAAATAAGGTTTCCATGCCTTCAGCAGACTATGTATTAGTGTTCTTTTAACGTCTTTCTGCTTGATTCTCTGTGATTAGCTAAGAACATTGAAAATCTGGAGCTCAAGCTGCACTAGTTACCTGCAAGATCTGATAAGGGGTGGAAGGAGAAGGGGGAAAGAAATGGAACTATCTAAATAAAGGGGAAGGGGGTCTGAGCTTTTACTTGGAAAACTACCTTGAGGTGAAACAAAGATTAAACTTTAGAATGGCTTTAATGCTTTCTAATCATGGTGCTTCTGGCAAAAGCAGGCTTCAGCCTCTAGTTATCAGAGAAGAGCTCTTAGAAATGTTTAACAATAGAGGTGAGCTATGTGCTCAGGAGATGACCAAGGTTGGGAGTCACTTTCACTGAGGGCTGGCCATGACACATATGTCAACAGGGAGCTTCATCTTGATTGTGCAGCTGCTCTTCCATTTCTTTTAACCTACACAACCCAATTTTACAGTATTTACAACAACAGGAAAGCAGCAGGTCGACAGCTGAGTCACAGCATGTAAAAATTCCCACCACTGCAAGCTCTAGCGCTGCGCAGTGCCTGAAGTCCAAAAAACGATTTTATTTTTCAGTCACGACCTCTCGCAGAACCCCAGGTTACCATGGAACCCCAGCTGAGAAAGGCTGTTCTACAGTTTGACCCAAATTATATAAATCTCTGCTATAATTATTTTCCTCTTTGAAACCTTCAACATACTCTCTTAATGGTATTGGTATCCTGATTTTATAGTTTGTGCCAAATATCTAAATTGTAGTCCATTCTTACAGTATATAGATAAAGCTATGACCACAATGGGACAGCCCTAATTTTACCCTTGAATGTTACGTTATGCTGGTCAGTGACTGAAATAAAGAGACCACTACCAAGAAGCTGACCCGTATGCATTTGGAAAGACCCCACAATCTACATGGCTGGGAGCCAGACAGACTGATTTGAAAATCAATGTCCCATTATACATTGCTTAAAAATATTTCTGGCATTTTCGCAGCCTAATGGACAAAAGCTCTTTAACAAGAGTCTTAGCAATTGGAAGCTTGCCAATAACATTTCTTAGCCTGGTTGAATTCATGTGGCCTTTGATTACCATTGGGCCCAGACCCACTGGATAGAAAGTTAACTTTAGCTAAAGATTTAAAAGATGGTACTGAGTCCTTGCGACCACGGACACCAAGCCCACCTCTTAAATATACAGCAGCACTGTGAATGTATCACTAATCACTGTAATGTATCACTGTGGATGTATCACTGCAAGGATAGCGCTCATAGACTAAACAGCTTCAAGGATATCAAGCTTTCTGAAAGTACACGCTTGGACTCCTAAAGAAATGGGAAATGGCTTTGACCATGAAGACCTTGCAAGCTGCAGGGGTAAAACAAGCTCCTTTCAAATAGAAAAACCTCAGGATAGTCGAGGAGCTATGTGGTGCAACATTTGCCAGTGAGGACTGGAACAGCAATCAGAGGTGTTATAAGTAAGGTCTTGCCAGAGAGCATTTCCATTTGCAGTATTTGCCAATTGAATTTTATAATTTCATGCAAATACTAAGACTTCTGTTTTGTGATAGTTTATTCCTAGCTTTTTCTCTGAGTAGAAAGAAGCCAAAACTCTCTGTGCAATATATTTTATTTTCTTGAAAATTTAGCAATGGGCTGATTTTTGTCTTTCCTAGGGTGATTTTTCAATTATAATCATGTTCTGCTGCCTTCTTTTCACTCACTTCCTCCTCCTAGGCAAGAGAATGTATTGGAAAGAAAGAGTTATTTGACTTTTATCAAATTATGTGGCTTTTTAACTTCCTTATAATACAGTTTCAGTGGTACTTTTTAAATACCTTTTAGTGCATTTTTCAGGGTACATCTGTAACTATTTTATCTGGAAGGAAGTGAAAAGGGTGTAGAAGAAAGCTAAGCTGCCCAGAAAAGGATTTGTAAGCATTCTTGAGAAATACTCCATCAACCACAAAATGAATTGGGCAACATGGAACAAGGTAGAACATAGCTACAAATTTGTTTGTGCTTCCTTTCTTAGTTTTCTAATGCTTCCTGCTTTTCTTTTTTTAAATAAAACATTTCTAAAACCATTAGGTGGCTAGACCAAGTCTAAGGGCAACCATTCTGCACCCCTTACTTGCAAACAAGCCCTACTTAATGGCACATATTCAGGGCTGGTGTTAAAGATTGCATGGATGGGCATTGGCTAAAGCAGTGTTGTCCAAACTTGGCCACTTTAAGATGAGTGGACTTCAACTCCCAGAATTCCCCAGCCAGCCATGCTGGCTGGGGGATTCTGGGAGTTGTAGTCCACTCTTTTAAAAATGGCCAAATTTGGAAAACCCGGCTTTAGCCAATGCCCATCCATGCAATCTTTAACACCAGCCCTGAATATGTGCCATTAAGTAGGGCTTGTTTGCAAGTAAGGGGTGCAGAATGGTTGCCCTT